TCTCTTCGCAACCCTTCTGTATCCATGTCTAGATGCTGCTTTCTCTGTCTTTCCAGACACTTTTTGGAAATATCAAGTCAGGAATCAGGACACACTCTTGCAGTTTAATTAACCGGGAGCAAAATGACCCTCAGAAATCCCAGAAAAAAAATAGCTGCAAAAATGTCATGCTTAACTCTAGGTAGAAAACTGATTCAAAATGAAATTTAATGAATTGAAATGTTTTCTAATTACAATGCAAAATTCATATTCTGAATGTTTTTCTTTCTTTTTCTTTTAAAGGAAATGGAAAAATCTGATGCCAATAATTTCTTAATCTTATTCCGGGATTCAGGCTGCCAGTTCAGATCTCTGTATACGTACTGCCCTGATACTGAAGAAATCAATAAATTAACAGGAATAGGTCCCAAATCTATCACAAAGAAAATGATAGAGGGACTGTATAAATACAACTCTGACAGGAAGCAATTTAGCCACATACCTGCCAAAACTTTGTCTGCCAGTGTTGATGCAATTACCATTCACAGCCATTTGTGGCAAACCAAGAGACCAGTAACTCCTAAGAAACTCTTACCCACCAAGGCATAGTAGATGGGAAAAAATTTGCTTGAGACAATTATGATAAACTTGCACTTCATCTTTACTGCCTATAGGAAATAGATTTCTAGTTGCCAACAAGACTTTTAGAACATAAAACTGGACACCGAGTTCTGTTATCATGTCCAACTGGAATGTAAACACAGTGTTTAGGAGTGCAGAAGATTAACTCTTAGGTGAATAATTATGAGTGATTATGGAAGTGTTTGACTTGTGTGGAGATTTGTATGTGCTAATGCAACATATAGAGTATATTTGCTCTGTATTTTGATTAGATACACTGAAGCACTGAATGTTCCTCTTTAGTGATTCAAACTACATTTTTTACATCTGTTGCCTTATATGTTTGTATTTGTGCTTGTCTTGAAATATTTTTCTTTCACTAAAGAAAAACTTCTTAATATTCTCAATACCGTCAAACTTTGCATACTGACTTACAGTAAAGACTAAATGATAAATTGTATGTCACTGAATAACAGCTGAATGGGTCTGTTCTCCAAGATCCTTACTGTGTGCTGTAACAAAATCAAGATTCATTCCCCTGTGTATTTATAATTCTTTTTCAATTAATAGTATTGATTTGCTTATAAACTAAACAGTAAAGGAAAAACCTTTGAACTGCTTGAAGTTTCCTTCAAATGAATTATTTAACAACTCAGGGTAAAGGTGATGCAATTATTTGTTTCAGTAAGCTGCCATCTGAGATGTAATGACTGACCACGTGCATATTCATAACACCAGTAAAACTCATAGTAAAAAGATTTGGTAGGTCTCTGAAATGGTTTAAGCAAGTGTGCATTCATTGCTTTGCACTGTTCCAGCTGGAGAGAGAGCACACGGTCAGGTCCTGCTTCTTCGGGGAAGGAACAGGAACTCATGAAACGTTCAGAACTAGATCCCTGATGTTGCCTAGCAGAACACTAAATATTCAGAAGAATCACAGAATTCACTAAGTCACAGATCTTTGAGAAGTCATGTATCTAATTCCCATTGATTTTAAGATCCAGGCTACTTCCTGCCTTCAGATCTGCCAACTCAGACTTGATTCAGTTTTCTAGGGAACAGACATCTGATAAGAATTTTCATTGTCTTCATAAAATATTTTCTTGACACTAACAGGTGATGTCTTGTGACACAGCAATTTTTAAGTACATATGGCAAAAAAGCCTAACTGACATTTCAGTAAATCTATAACATGACCATTTGCAAAACCAAACTCTAGGCATATTTCAGTATTATTTATAAAGGGCTGCATTTTATTTCAAAACAGTGTTTGATTAATTTATAAATCACTATCCTGTTTCAGTGTTTCTCTTATAATTTGCTTTTAACATAGCACTGTTCTGAAAAAAAAAAAAAAAGAAAAAGAAAACAAACTTGAAGCCTCCCCTAAATCTGTGGCTATTTTGAGAACATCATAAACACATTGAGAATTTGTTGGGGGGGAGGGAAATCTCATTCTCAGGAAAAGACTTGAATGATTTGTGATTCTGTTCTGTTTCAGTGTTGTGACAACTCCATTCACATAAGACAGTATTGTGCTATAATGTAGTCCATTCAGTTTCATGGGAGACAAAAATTATGTTTGTATTTCTCTCATTAAACTGCTTTGAGAGAAGCTGCCTCACTACTACGATGTGCTCATTTACTTAGAGAAAAGATGCACAGGAATGAGATGTCATTAAGCAGTTTAGAACAGTACTTTTTTAAATTATTATAAGGCCTTAGGCATCAGTGCATCTGGATTATAAACATTTTCTCAATGCTATCAGTTTACTGTAATTTATGTTCTTATATTTATGTATATTTGTTAAAACTGTAAAAAAAGAAAAAAACACTTTAAATACATGTTTAATATGTATGTGGCTCAAAACTATTTGTGGTTAGCTGATTCCTACTGTTTGCATGTATATCACCAGGATATGTAACTCTTATATTTCAAGTGTATACATATTGTGTATATAGGATATAAATAATATTAAAAAGAGGGGAAAGAGGGTTTGCACATTCTGCCTGTTAGACACTTCCTACAGATACCATTGTAGGAACATCTTGAATAACAATATGAAACTGTATATAATATACAGTGATTCAAGAAACCAGGAGGTTGGAATTAACTGACACACATATGGTGAATAACTTCAAAAGAAGTTTTATCATGGGAGGCTTTTTATTTCTAAAATCTGTTCTATGATTTAACTGAAGATTTGCAACACCATAAAGACACACGCATCAACCTAATCAAAGTGAGCTTAAATACATGACAGGAATTCTTTGAGTAATTTTAAATATATATGAATGTATTATGAAATTTGCATTTGTCAACAGGTTAAAGACTTGTGCAATGTCTAAAAGTAGAATGTGAATAATGCAGTTGAAAATTTCATTGCTCGCAATATAGAGTTTTACTTAATACAGGAAAAGTAAAGCTAGAGATGCTTTTCCTTTTTAAGCCTGCAAATTTTCTAATTACAGTGGATCTTTGGTTTGGATCATGTTTAAAAAAAAGAAGAAAATAAAAAAAAAAGCTTTCCATAAAGGCCAGTATTTATCACTGACCTTTCCAGAACACACTGGTGCTTTCATCAGGGGTATTATTGTTGCTACGACTGAATTGCCAAACTCTCGTCTTAGTTTTTGGAGCAAAATTTCATCTTCTAACAGTCATTATAGCTACTGATTTTTTTTATTTTTTTTTTTTTAATGTTAGTATGACTGTTAGTTTTTATTATTTGGCTGTTTAAAGCCAAATTCAGCTATTTAATTATGATTTATTGGGCACTGTTGAAAAATGTACAGTGTATTGTGTGCTTACTTGTCCACTTCTATGGAGCATAGCTTCCATATTTTTTCAAATGCTGTGCTGTAAAATATTGTCATTGCTACTTATGTGGTACAGTGTAGTTTTTTCCTTTCATTTAAATAAAAGCATGGCACCAAAATAATATTTTTTTTTGTTTTCTTGCTTACCTCTAAATATAAACTAAATTTATAAAATGTTCACATTAATGTTTAAATCTTGCTTCTTCTCATATTTCAGCAATGTGGAAATTGTAGGAAATATGCACCATTACAATTTCTTCTTCTGTTTCCCATCTTTGGTCATACTTCCATAGATAATCTCGATTTCTGATGTTATCAGAGAAAGGCTATTGAATAATTCAATAAGCTTCATATTTCATTTGTGAGGACAATAGGGTGTTACCCTGTTCTCCTCAGAAGTGAATTTCACCATTTTATGTCATCTGATACTTTTGGCCTCTGGTTAGCTTCCATTTTTCCAAAGCCACAGAAACTTACTGGTCAGGTTAAAAGGTTTGCTTCAGACTGAAAAGTTGTCAAGGTGAACTGAAGTTTTATCTTTGTCAAGGTACTGCATAAAGCACGTGTATGACTTCAAGTGAAATAATTTGTACTTGCTAGTGATGCTATCTTGAACAGAAACACTGTAAAAAAAATGAGAGGATTCTTCCAGATTTGTAAATTAGTAATTTTTCCAGTCCGAATCATGCCTTTTTGGGAGTTTTTTGTTGTCCTGCTGGGTTGCAGAGTAAGAGCAAGGATATGCTGAAAGTGGCCATGACATCCCTGCACTGTCAGAAGGCAGACTGAGTTGCTGGGCTAACTTACACAGATAAAGAATCTCAGAATTGCAGATCTGTTTGAAGGGTAACTTCAAGAATACCAGCCATCTGACAGTAGGCCTTTTAATGCTGAATTGAAAGCTAGTGTGGAAGAAAATTAACAGCTTTCCCTCCTCCCCCTGAAAACTGGTTATTTTTCAGGCAGCTCAGTTACTGTATAGCATCAGTACAGCATCACAAACAGGCTGACACAAGCAAGGAATTATATTGGAACACAAACACACAGTTGAATCTAGTAAAGCTATTTTTCCAGTGATGAGCCCAGCTCGAAATTTTCATCTAAAAACAACCTTTGTACAGATCTGCTTCAGAACAGACTTTGTTTTTTCTATCTTTTGGCAAATAATAACACCGTCCCTGAGAAACTTCAGCTCATGCCCTGCTTAATACGACTGTCCTATGTGCCTGACTGAATTTGTACAAAAATTCTGATTCAAAATTTGTGCTGCTGTGGGATCCAGTGTATAGAGTTATGCTTGGAACAAAAGGTTTTGTATTGATGACTGCACAAATGTGATGCAAAAAATAGCTTTGTTTCTCAAATCCAGCTGTACTGATCACATCAATGTCAGATGGGGTTTCTTTTCAACAACTTATTAAAAAAGACACTGGGGTAAACTTTAACTATTTAGATATGAAAAACAACAAATGGAAAAAAAACCCATAAATACTCTTATTCCAGGTGCAGATGGCAGGGAAAAAATATATTTAACATTTACATCTATGTAAGCTATTTATTTTTAAAAGCAGTCCATTTTTTACCATTTAGGTAAAAATAAACATGATGTGTATTTGTATATGCATACATACAAATGCACGTTTACCTTCAGACTTACTTGCTTACATACAGAATAAAAAATACGTGTTTTATTTAGACAACTACAGCAATGAATCAAACATGGAAGGGAAGTTACTCCAGCTTACTTTCTTCTAGCAAGAAAGGAAAGCCGCTCTTACACTCAAAACCACTGCTGTAAGAGGCAAGGAAGCGATCTACCACACATTTCAGTAGAGTCTTTGGGAGATTAAGTTCTTCTAATTAAAGTCCTGAATTCAAGGATAATGCTGATGGATGATAGAACTGCTACTGATCAGAAGAGCTAATAACCATCAGGATTCAAGAAAGGGCAGAAAACAGCCCAAAGAAGGTAAGCATTCACTGAAAAAAAGTTATTTAAAACTTTCTTCAGACTCCTATTCAACATTATAAACGACTTAATGTATAAAATGCTTAGGGGTAAATAAGTATTTCATTATCCACTGGCAAATTTGTTTAAGCAAGATACTAATTTTTTTTTTGTCACGTGTTTAAGTTTGCAGTTAATCGTATGCGAACTTCATGGAGCCGTACTAAGTAATATCTATATGTACTTTCATGTCACAGTTAATGGAGCTTTGCAGAAAGACTAAAAGCTAATATGGGGCTTTCCATCACAGCAGCTCTGTCTTATTATTTCTTCATCATCACTGATCTAAATATCTGCAGTACAAGACATGGCAAGGCCCCACAAGCCTGCAATTATTTAAATTACTTGAAGGCAGATTATACTTTGGCTCAGTATTTTTCTTGTTTAAGCTACCTGAAACTGGAGCTATGGTGCTGACATAAAGAATTCTATGGATTATGCAAGAATTCTGCTGAATTGTCACCTCAAAGTTCTGGAAATCCTTTCTTGAAATGAGTAAAAACTGTTTCAGAATAAAATTTTGAACAGAAATTTTTTTCAAAGTTTTTACAAGAACATGTAAATATAAAATGTATGGAGGTGAATGGCTCTGTTATAAGTACAGAAAATCGGGATTGACCCATTTTTAGGGCCAACACACAGAATCAGCTGAATTGGAGGGGTCTCACAAGGACCACTGAATCCAACTCCTGGCCCTGCACAGGACACCCAAAGAATCCCACCCTGTGCCTGAGGGCATTGTCCAAACGCTTCCTGAGCTCGCTCAGCGTGGAGCTGTGACCACTGCCCTGGGGAGCCTGTCCTAGTGCACAACCACCCTCTGAATCTTTTCCTGATGTATAATTTAAACCTCCCCCGATACAAATGTAGGCCATTCCCTCGGGTCCTGCCACCGTCACTCCGGAGCAGTGTCTGCCCCTCCTCTTCCCCTCCCTGGGAGGTTATAACTGCAGTGAGGTCCTCCCTCGCTCTCCTCCCGCCAAGTGAACACTGACAGTGAACAGGCTGAACAGCCAAGTGACCACTCCTCATGGCTTCCCCTCAAAGCCCTTCACCATCCTTGTGGCCTCCTCTGGATGCTCTCCAACAGCTCAGTGTCACTTTTATATTGTGGCACCCAAAACTGGCCCCGCCCTGGAGGTGAGGCCGCCCCAGTGCAGAGCAGAGCGGGACCATCCCCTCCCTCGCCCGGCTGTGATGCTGTGCCTGGTGCCCCCAGGACAGGGATGTCCCTCCTGGCTGCCAGGGCACTGCTGGCTCGTGTTCAACTTGCCATCGACCAGGATCCCAGGGCCCTTTCCATGGTGCTGCTCTCCAGCATCGCATTTCTCACCTGCAACATTTATAAAACGGTCACACAATTACTATTTCTTTCCTGAAGTGCTCTGAGCACAGACTGCAGCACCCTGTTTTGTCACTAGGCAATGCAGATCTCCTCCTCCGCTAATCCTGATTTTCAAGCTCTCCAAAACCCACACCCAACAGCTTTGCCGTTCCTGGGAGTTTCCTTGTTTGCAGTAATGAGTGGGGAGTTCAAAGCAAGCTGGGACCATCCCAAATACGTTTCTATGGTAAGTAAAGAGTTGCAAACAACCAGAGAACAAGATCTTCCATCGGCTGTCTTCCCACAGCATGCTACTATATGTATCTTCACCAAAACTTAATAGTATGATTGCCCCCAAAGCAGGGCCACCAACTACTGCTACCTATTCTTCCATATTTCTTCCTGATAGTTCTTGAAATCTCTTCCCAGAGTACAGGAATTTGCTGCTTACCTGTGAAACATCCAACATTCTGAGCAGGAAACAGAATAATTTTAAATTAATAATTTTGCTTTCAGGTCTGTAAGTGGGAAGAAGCTTTATCTTTGTTGCCATCCAGAGATAGTCTCACAGATTTGGTCTCAGGACCTCCACTGAAAAAGCTACTGCACAAAAGATTAGTAAACTACTAATCTTTACTAATAATAAATAAATACTAACTTTACTACTAATAAAATCACTATAAAATTAAGTTTACATGTGTTTACCTAGAATTTTGTAGGTCAAACAAAGCTTTAAATGGACTTCTTGTATCTATGCTCAGTAAAGTTATACATACCACTTGGTTTAGACAAAATAATCCTGTTTTTCCACACTCCTCCTCATTTATCATCTCTACTGTATCATATATATTGGAAAACAGTTTTATTTCTATAATTACATTTTCTGTTAAGCAGCACCTCCAAAGGCAACTAAGCAACAAGCAGCTTTACAAGTAAACAGAAGTATTCCATGTTTTACCAGCAAATCCATGTTCCTGGGAAGTGAAGCTGGGACTTGAACAAAAGGAACCATCGAGTTCCACATTCCTTGCACATGCCTGGCAGGGTCACTGCTGTGCAGCCAAGCACACTCCTTGCTGGACAGCCTTTGGGAAATTTCTTTGTATTCCTGTTCAGAAAGAAGAGAGAAAAAATAACACGATTCCCCTCTGCCCTTCAACAGATCCTCAGCAAAACAGTTCATAAGTAGACTTGACCTCACGGATATTTTGTGAATGTGACAGAGAATCCAGTTCAGCTTCAGTCAAATCCCTGACAACCTTCTCTGGATCGCTGATGCATGGCACACATGCCTAATTTAAACAAAAATAATAAATTAAAAAGCCGTACATCAGCTTGTCAGAAAATTGCCACCATCTCCATTTTGGCAAGACCTACCAGCACACTGCAGTGTGTTCACAAGCACTCTGTCCAAATACTGTACTTGCATTTTAATATCTCACCACTACATATAAACACAGAGCAACCTCATTGACTGTTCACCATAATGACTCTGAGATGCCATTATCTTTTGATAATTACAAAAATGTAACTGAATGTGGGAGGACAGATAGAGATAGTGCTGAAGGCAATCTTGCCCCTGATAAATTGCAGCTGTGCCAATTACCAAAGAGTGGGAACAGCCTTGCCCTCACAGCTATGTCCAATAAGGGTGGGAGTTCTAAAAGAGCAGGTTAGCTGACCAAGGGAGCTGGAATCTTGCAAGGGACCGAAAGATCTTTTGCCAGTTCTGAAGGAAGAGAGAAGAAAGCCAGTGCTGCGTGGAGCTGCCCATGGGAAAGTTACAAAGAAAAGATATGCGAGCCCTTGGATAACAAGGGGCTGATGCTTGAAGCCTTCTACGGTGTCAGCCATACCTCCACAGCAACTGAGAGTCAAATTATACAAGAACACATCCTCATAAAACACAGATATCACACATGCATTAGTAAGATTTCTGTAAAGAATGCGTGCTTCGCTCGACAGCCTCAAGAACCAGATGACAGCATAAGAACGCTAAAAAAATCCCTGGCTGACCTGAAACGCGGCAGCACCTCGTGCAGTTAGAGCACTTAGAGGTGCTGCCAACAAGCCTTAACCCGCGCCGCACAAGCAAAAAGCCGGGTGGTGGCAGACGGGCAGTGCCGCTCCTGCCCGGCTCGGCTGCTGTGGGCGCTGGGTGCCTCAGGGGCGTCGGAGGGCAGGTTACGGCTCGGGACGACCCGGGAACACGGCCTGGCCGCCCTTTGTGAGGTGACACAGGGCTCTGGCTGAGTATTCCCACCGGCAGAGCACCGGGCGGGGGACGGTCGAGGGATGCGGAGCATACCGCGCTTGCCGGGCGGCAGCTGCAGCCCTGCCCTACTCCCGCCTCACGTTCCCTCAGCGTGGGGCGCGGCCCCGCTCGCCGGGCGGGCGCGTTCACCCCGCCGCGAACAAAGCGGCCCNGGGGCCGGGCGGCACTGCCCGCCGCTGGTGCTGAGCTCACGTTCCCGAAATGCTGATGCGGGCTCGGCGCGGCGCAGTTAACCGGGGCGGCTGCTGTAAATCCGGCGGAGCTGCATTTCGTACGGAATCGAGCGTGGAGAGGAAAAAAATGTTGGAAGAACGCGGGGTATTACAGTCAAAATACGTTAATATCTGGTCTTTGGAAGTTGTTTGTCTTTTCTTATTTTTCTGCCTTATATTTTCACTGTGATGTGAAGTATTGCATAATTTAATGTCACCTTTTTGTCATTCGCGGTGCGGAATGCGCTGGGCAAGGCGTGTGCGTGTTGTAACAGGGACTGGTGAATGCTGAGAGCTCTGCGGTCACCTCCCAAGCGTGGTGAGACGAGGATTACCGGCTGGCTCTGGAGCAACAGCTGATCTAAGCAGGGGAACAAAATGGATTACTAGATGGCAAGCCAGTGAAAAATCTGTGTGAGGCAGGAAAGGCTGGTGTGTAAGAGGACACCGATTTGCTGTGTATTGGAGTAGAAAAGGTCTTGGAGTTCAGCTGTGCAAAGTTTAGTGAAGGTTTTCTGTTAAAGCCTTAATATGCTTAATGCATTTCATTTGCGATAATGAATTGATAATTGATTTCATAGCATCAAATGGGTGTCAGCGAGCTCTGCTGACTGCTGTGGGAATCAGTTGTGATAAAAATTTGGCCTATAGTCTTTCTTTTTCTTCGGTAAATTATTTTGATATATGATAACTGGAAGATGATTGAGGGCACTTCAGAAATGGAGCCACTAGGGACTGACTGGCCTAGAGTGCCCTGTGGGCTCTGTGTAGCCAGAAGTCCGGAGTGGCCTCTGGGAAGGCACAGGAGTCAAGTCGAAATGACAGTGGGGTGGATTAAAAAGTGAAATAGCTTAATGCAAAATAGCCAGCTTTTTAAATATGTATGACTTTGTTCACACTGAGGTGTTCTGTGACAGCTCACCAAGATGCTGAGGTTGTTGGGTCTGCATCACAGCTGTCAGTGAACCAAGGCTCCTAATTTAGCATTGAGTGTCCCTTTAAATATGTCACTGCTCTCACAGCATGACACTTAAGATTTGAGTTATAATTTTTTTCTTCTTGTATTTCAGAATAGCTAGAGACTTTATATTCCTTGCCTGGTTTTTGAAATGTATATTCTATGCTACTGGCAAGTGATTTTTTTTTTTCAGTTGATAAATAACATGAATAACACTTACTGTAGAATTTCACAATTAAATTTTACTTTTAATTTTTATCATGGGAATGTATGTGCATTTTAGATTTCTTCTAAGAATGCACTAAATAGTCTCTCTTTAAGCTACTTATCTTCAGATGCTTTCAGTTTATAAACCTGAAATAGTATATTTATATGCATAAGTGACTGTAAATATGTTTTAATGTTTTAAGAGTTATTTTCTTATGCTTTTAACACCATAAGAAGGTTCTTGCTATTGGCACGTTCTTAGAACATGAGTAAGAACAAAACAAAGGTGAAGCATCTCTCTGGGAGATTTAGCATTAGGTATTGAGTTCCAAAAAGCTTGTTTAAACAACATCTTATCCATTAAAGTTAAAGATGTGTCAGGTTTGTGTCAAGAAGTTTTTTTTGTTTTCTTGATGTAGAAAATAAATTTAAATACAGAACTAGCAGAAGATAAGAGAGAGTGAGCAGGAGAAGGAAGGAAGATATGGAGAAGTGCCATTCTGAAAAGACAGGGCAAGATAAAAAGGTTGTATCAGAAATGTGGTTAATACAAGGCACCTGAAATATTAAGCTCTAATTCTTGTTTGCTTTCTTTTATACCTCAGGCTAATGCTGTGCTTCAGTCAGTCTTGAGTATTAGAGCTTGAGCCGATCAGATTGTGACGTTATGTGCCATATGTGCTGATAGAAAACAATACAGTGTGAGGGACCAAAGATGCAGCTTGAGCTCTAATCTTGAGTTTCCCTGCTGCTTTTTGGTTTTTAATTATTTTATTTACACACATGCTGACGTACCACTGAGTGTCAGAAAGCCTCATAGAGGGTGATGTGTAAGCCTGTGTATAATTTCATGCAAAAATGCATGCTTCATATTACTTTGACAGCATAATGCTTATAAGAGAAATCTGAGCTCATCAGACTAAAAACCATCAATTACTTGAAAATCTTGTCTAGTAGGTTTACTGTTCCTTTCTAGCTATTTGTGTTGCACTTACAGGGAATGCACACTGAATGTTATCATAATACTCTTAATGAATGAGCTTATCAGTGTACTTAATTCCTTTTTCAGAAGTTCAGTATCCAAACTAAGTCTGAATGTTGTAATACGCTTTACTGTACCCCAAAAGTGCTGTTACTAGTCCTATATCAAATGTGGAGGGTGCAACCATTCTTCATCCTGATTTATGAAAATTAAGTAAATGAAGTTAAGTGTTCAAATTGTCTGGGGCTTTATGTTTAGGACAAACCTCTTAATTAAAAAAAACTGCAATGGAAAATAGAAGACAGCTCAGAGATGTTGGATTTTACATAATGTAGATGTACTCTGAATCAAAGTACTGAATAATATGCTCATTTTGTCATCAGTATAATATTAAGACAAGCTTTGAAACTGTGTAGGGTGGCTTCCTGTTTACACTTGTGTCCAGTAGAGCCTGTTGAAAAGAAAGCTGTACTTGGTGTTCCTTTCTTCAAAGGAATTCTTAGTCTGATTTTTTTTTTTTTTCTGATGGTGAATCTCAGTATAGCTTTGCCTAAGCCTTTGTCTTTTGACAAGGAGGTTAATTAGTTTACATAAAGGCCTCTAGTGTCATGAAGCATAATAAGAGTGCAAATACTTTAGATGATGTTGTGAATTAAGATGTTAATACTAATCCGCTGGTTACATTTGTATTGATTTTTTTTTTCCCTTCAGTGTGTGGGGGAGGGGTTGAATTTTTTCTCTGGGACCAAAAATCCATATCCAGTTGCCAAAAGGCGAAGTTGAAGTAGGGCTAAAACATAAGGAAAAAGCATCTTTCTACAAGTTCTGGAATTTGATTTGTGAGTGTGTGTATCTCTCTTCCTTGTGGCAAAGCTTTCTGCAAGCCAGAGTTTAATTTTTCCTTCTAACTTTACTAGCTGAGAGTGTGCTTATGGTCTCTGGCTGTGTCTTTCATGAAACCCATCAAAATACTTGGTGATTGGAATCTTCTGTGACTAAAATGAGAATTAGACCCAGCCATTTTAAGGAGATAGGCCATTCATCTGGCACAACTAGGTCTCTGTTGTTCCAAAATAAACTGTGCTGCTGTAATCAAATGCTTTGCTAGTCAAATGTTCTGGCAAAAACTTACCAGAAAAATTTGGCATACAGTTGTGAGGAAGGTGGAAAATTTGGGGTTTAGACAGTAGTGCAAAAAAACACGTTATTGAAGTCTAAGGTTTTGTATCCCTTCAAGCTCACTTACTTTGGTTTATGGTGATCAATGAGGAGTTTCATGGAATAATTGTCCCTTCCTTTCCTCTCTGGTAAATAACTAATTTTTTCTTAATACTCTGAGCATTTTATTTGGTTAGTTCAAGCTTACTTAGATTCTGTGCATCTTTCCCTAGTAGGAGGTAGCTAGTTAGTTAACTCCAGTTTTCCCAGGATGAGCTAGCTACACAACGGCTGCATCCTGTTTTTAAGTTGTCTGGTAAGCTGGGTTGCCCACAGGTGGTTGTCTTACAGTTGCTGGATCTGCATAAATGAGTGATTTAATGAGGGAATTAGGAACAATTTTTATGTCCCCTTTCGATTTAGGAGGGAGAGGCACTGGGAACTATAACCTATTGCTGTGATTGTCTTGCTCTGTGTGGTCATCTCCTCCCGCCTTTATTCATTTTTCAGATCAGTGTCTCTCCTTCCTGGGGCTGTTGCCTCCTGCTGAAAGTTCTGCTCTGGTACTGGTTTCTTCTCTGGTCTTAAACTGATTATGAGGGTGCACTAAAGTCATGTTAAGATTTTGCTACTGCCAGAGAGCAAAGCTGTGTTAGATCCTTGTGTCAGCATTAGTGCACGTGTGTCCATGGAGTGAATAAATGCTTGAGTTGCACCTGGCTCAGAGGAGTGGTCTGGCTCAGGACACAGCCCCACTGTGGGGCTGGGGTGAGTGCAGAGGTGAGAAGAGGCACTGTCCCTTTTTAATCCCATGTAGTAACATGGGATTAAACTGATGTCTTCCTGCTGTTAAATTTTGTATTCTTGTGGCTACAGGAGGGCTGCTAGGTGGGGGGATTTGGTTTGGGTTTTTTAGGGCTCCTGGTAAGGCGATACTGTGTAGATTGGCTGTGTTAGTGGGTTTCTCCTCTCATCCCCAGATCCTTTCCAGCAGATTAGTTTAGGAGTTACTTGTAAAGTCTTATTATCATTTGAAAAAGAAAGTTCAACAGCTTCTACTTTGTTATCTTACGGGAATCAGGCAAGACTTAGCCAAAAGATGAACTTAATTTAAGTTTCCTAAGAGAAGTACATTCTGCAGTTCTCATATCTGGAGGAGTTGTGTTGCAAGAGAGCTGGGACCTTGTATCTGTGGGAGCTTTAAACAAGCAGCCTGCTGGCCCTTGTCTGTCTGGCTGGACAGCTCATCAGGACACTGAGCCAACTACATTAGCAGGTGGAAAAGCTCCTGCAGGGACAGAAGTGAGGAGGGCTGAGGAAGGGCAAGGAACACGCAGCTGGAGACAAGCGAGTGCGTAGAGTCAGGCAGCCAGCAGGCCCTGTCTTAGGCCACTGGCAGCTTTAGATCCTTCATGAGGGGAATAGACAGAAATAGTCATCCTTAGGAAGGAAGAATGGAAACCCCTGGCTTAGCTGTCACATGCTGCTTCAAAGTTAAGGAAAGGAGAGATGGCATTTTTAGTGTGCTGTGCTTTTTATGTGTGTTAGAAATATTTAAGTTCATA